CTATAATCTCTCTCTCTCTCTCTCTCTCTCTCTCTCTCCTTGTGTATGTTAAATTGCGGATGTGTTCGGGCAATAGGGAAGGATATTGGCGGTCTTTGCTCCCAATGGTAGTCCTATCGTTTCTCTAATTATTGTTTATTGAGCTCTCTCTTTCTCTCCTCCTTGAATTGGTTTTTGTACGTGGGCTTTTCTTTGGGTCGATTATGTTGTTTGTGCGATGGGATCGGGAATAAGGGGTTGAGGGTGATATATGAGTTGGACTGATTTATTTGTTCCAATTGGGTTCTTGTTCTGAAAATTGGGATTTGATCGGTCTATCTTAATCATTGTGGGATTATAAGTGGGAAATCTTTATTATTGTTCTTCGAATATTCATACTTGCTCGCATGATATTTTCTTTTGTTTGTGGGGCCATTACTTATGGGGTTGATTAATGAGTTCAAAGGTTATCAATTTTATTCTTGTGATTGAGTATTTTGTAGTTTTGATCTTTGTTACTGATTGAATTTTTTTCTCTTCTCTTTTATGTAGTTGCTTCTTTCCATTTGGGTTTTGATTTCTTGTTTGAATGGCCATTTTTAGAGAAGAATAGAGAAACATGATTCATGCAGCAGACCCAAAATAAGAGTAACATTTTGGTAAGATCTCTAGTTTGGCAAAATTTGCTTTTCAAGACCACACCTCAGGTCTAATGCAGTTTGCCATGTCTTGGTCCTGGATTATTTTGAGTCAAGTGGGCTTTTAGGGTTGTCTGGATCCTCAGTTTTGGAAGTGGCATAGGGATCATGCATCTGCTGAGCTTTGTCTTCTTTTCCATTGTCCTCAGTCTAGTTTAATGTGTTAGATGAGGTTGATTGGAGGTGGAGCCATGTTAGCGGATCCTTAGTCGGTTGTGCTTGCTTAGTAGCATTTAATGATGCCCTAGTCTTTTTATTTGGGTGTTATTTGGGTGGGGGGGAGGAGGGGGGGCGGGGGAGAGGTTGGAACCTAATTTTGAACCCTGATGTATTAATTCTCACTAACCTATGGGTGATTCTGCGAAACACTTGGAAATTATATTCAGCCACCAGCTTTCCTCAATTCATGCTTTCTTTCTTCTTTGAAAGAAAAATCTCAAGATTTTGGTCCCCTCTTTTTTTCGTATTGTGCGGGTTGGCATGCACAATTGGCGGATTGCACCCAAAGCTGTTATATTTATCTAGGAAATTTTGAGGGAATAGTAGAATTAGCAAGAAACAAAGCCAAACACAAGCATATTTCACCCCAAGCTAAAAGCCTAATCTTTTTTTCTCTTTCAAATTCTAAAAATCATGTGGAATGATCCCCTCAAGGCCCCACACATCTCTTATATATTATAATTTAATGTTCTAAGTACAAAAAGTATTTAAACAAATAATACATTGACCTATATATCCTAACTTACTTACAATTACAGTACCCATGAATAGTTCTCATGAACAGTAATTGTGAATAGTACTCATGAAATAATTTAAAAAAAAAAAAAAAACTCTAGAATCTCTAAAAACTTAGAAATAAACCCTAAACTGAAACTTTAATATAAATCCTTCAAAATTGAATAAAAATTAGAAATAAGTAAATTTTCCCTCCATCATTCACCCATGGATGGAGACAACTCATCCTCAAGTTTCGAAATGTGCTAAGATGAATCCAATATCAAAACTACTTTTTTCAACATTCTTTTTCTTTGTCGGCTCAGATATTATTCGTGGTAAAAGAATTTCTCAAGAAATGGATCCTTATATGCATTTTGATGAATCAATGGAAATTTATCAAATACGGCTATCCATGAACTCCTATTGAAAATCGTGTAGGAAACTTCAAACCCAATTTATTGCTCATTAGAGGTTTTTGGACATCTATTTCATTACTTCATGAAATTAGGGTCACAATTTGTGGTTTATGAGTTGACTACATTTCATCTGCTCTACTTTGATTCTAGTAGCCTAAATTTTTTGAATACTTTATCTCTTTGATAGTAATGAGATCCTCAAGGCCATGATTTGGATGAGTCCTACTGTTGCCTTCTCTCCATATTCTTCACCCTCTTCGAAAGTCTCTTCATAATCATCTTAATCCTTATCATAGATTGGATCTCCTAAGAAATCTTATTGTCATCTGGGTATATATCGAATATTGGTGATGATTCCTAATCTACAACTTGATGATTTTCAATGCAATCTGTGTCAAAATCAATAATTTCATCTTTCAAATCAAAAACTCTTAAGTGATGTTCCCCACATCTAAGTCTTCTATCACTGTCCTCATCAATTGACTCCTTACGCGGAGCGCGAAAGTGAAAAGGCTTGTGCTCGATATCCTCTTGGGTTGATAGATCATTGTCTTACTCATTATCAAGGGCCGCAAATTGCTGCATTAGCTGCTGAACTGGTCTTTCAAGTTCCTCAATTTTATCATCTATGGGATCACCAAGCGTGTCTATGAAAATCCCCTGCTACAGCTCCTTCTCACTGCCATGGGTTCACCAAAACCTAGGCAAATAATCGACAAAACTCGCTGAAAAGTAAGATGTAGGTTGATTTGGCAAAAATTAGCCCAAAATCAGCAAAACCTAAACCCCAATGTAACTTCCCTGCTTTGTTGTTGATTTAGGACACCACAAATCTACACTACAGTACTGTTCGTACATTGCTACAGTACTCCCATACAGTGTTATGGTAACTTTCGTATACTTCCATGAGTTTGTGAATGCACAGTTCTAGTGAATTGTCTTCAACAGAGAATACAGTCACATGTTTTGGACCAAATAAAATGTCAAACACATCGCAACATCTCAATAAAACATTCGGCACTACCTAATCATGAAACCCCTTCATGTCAATCTTGGCAAATACAACATGAGAATTTAGTATGGGAAAGTAAGTTTCTCAATAAGGAGCTTCAGTTTGCCATGGTACGCAATGAATTGTCTTCAACAGAACACACCTGTTTTGGACCTAATAAAATATCATAAACATCGCAACCTCTCAATAAAACATTTGGCACTAGCCGCACTACCTGATCATGAAACACCTTCATGGTAATCTTGGCAAATACAACGTGAGAAATAGTACGGGAAAGTAAGATTCTCAATAAACAGCTTCATTTTGCCATGGTACACAATTTACTGCTTCACCTCTATCAAGAGCATACTTCTTTGTCCAAATAAGGAAAGCACATTCTAGTGCAACATAAATTTTAAGAGAAACCATTTTGCACATGCATTTCCACTAGTTCTAATCCCTGATGTCCAAGGCCATGTATGGTAGGAATGCTATAAGCATACTGATTTGCATACCAACAATATGGGCAATACTTAACTGCCATCAACAATAGTGCTAGATGCGCATGTCTATCATCTTTGACGAATATGCACTTTTCCCCAATTTTGATGAGACCCTATTCAAGAAAACAAGAGAGACATATGTTGCAAATTACTGCATCTGTCACAAAAACTTTATCCATCATGTTTATGTTTTGTCCACATGGAAAATTGTAGCATTTGTAGCACATATACATAGTATTATTGTCCATGAACTTACCTGAGATAACTCGCTTACAACTCTAAAATGGGTTAGATGAATGCATTGCAGTCACGAGCTCTTTCCATTAGGACTTTGTGAGTTGTTGGGGCTCTCCACTCAAAACAAAGCAATAGCTCAGCGCAATCACCCCCATTTTCACCATCATAAACACTGTCACCACCATTTTCTTCTTGGCTAATAGCATGTTCTTCATTGAAGATAGGACCTTCTTCTTTCTTTTCATCAACTAACTTCTTCATCATAAATTGATTTTTCTACCAAACTCGAATCCTTATCAAGGTACACATCAAAGATTGATAGTAAGTCCCCATGATCACTATAGCTCACATCTAGCTCCTCTTCATAATACTTTGGGATCTCAACCGTGACACTGATTTCCCACCTCCTACTTTCCCTATCCGTATGATCAGCTACCTTTTTCCTTGGAGCTTGATCATGGAAGGGATTTATGGATTCCTTATCTGCCTTGATCTCATACTCTTGAGATGGGGCTTCCATCGACGGCAAATGCAGGGCTAGGGTTTCGACTAATCTCCTCAGATCTGCAATCCCTTTATGCGAACTAGCACCAAATACTTCTAAGGTTGCCGCTTTTCATTTGTGCAGAGGCATGGTTGTTGGACTCCAATACTGTGCTACAATACCATCCTTATTGATCGTTGTGCTCTAATACCAATTTGATGTAGGAAAATTCGAGAGAACAGTAAAATCAGCAAGGAACAAGCCAAACACAAGCATAATTCAAAGAAACCTAGGGTTTCTTCTCCTTACACCAAGCTAGGGTTATAAACGGCCCATACATATGGAATCATGTGGAATGACCCCCTCAAAGCCCCATACACCTCTTATATATTATAATTTAATGT